ACTTTCCATGTATTGTGCCCACCATTTACGTAGTGCTCTAATAATTAAGAAATTAAACAGTGTATTAATGAATACCGATGCTTGAATAGTGAAATAGACTTTTGTCTGAGTTGTGTTAGATCACAGGAGTCACAGTGTGAACATGAACTGTAGGTGGTGATTTTGTACTGTGGAAAATTAGGCAGAATTAAACTGATAATTTTCCCTGCAGGAAAACACAAAGACCAAAACATGCAAGTAAGAATTTACCTATTAGTACTGCAATTCCAATGGAACAAATTGAATGTGTTGGTAAGAGTATGGCTACAGATGTACACGAAGACTTGTTTTAAGTTTTGGTACAAATTAAAAGCGTGAACACTCATGACTGAGAGGTTGGGAAGGTCTAATATTAATGCCATAACTTACTTGTCTTTTGTTTTCATGATATAAGCTTCTAACGCCTGCGGTTCATCAAACAGCATTCTGGGTACTTCAAATCGGTGGGTGTCTGATTTCTCAAAGCTGTACAAAAGAAATACAATTACATATATAATATAGAATAGATTTCAAATGTATGACATAAAGACCTTGTATGAATACACACAAGTCTTCTGAAATTTGGCAATTTTCCATATCAGCAATTGTAAGTTAACTCTGGGGTGGTTGGTGTGATAGAGTTTGTATCCTGATGCTTGCCATTCACTTGCAGTCTACAGTCACTGACGATTGTGACATGCATATACTTGACTTTTGTCTCTCCCCTCATTCTAGCATGTAAAGAACTTTTTTTATGGAAAGTTAGCAGGATGTTTTAGTATCATACCCAGTGTTAATTTAAATCATTTTTAAAAAGTTCATCTTCAGTTAGTGGATTTAACCATGACAACCCATTGCTAACCACATAAAACATACCAGACATGTTATTATATACAATCACAATTTATTCATTTAATTTCAAATCAATCAATCAATCAATCAGTTGTCAAGGCATGCCTATTGCCGTGTGTTTTACCATCATACATACCATACTATACTTACTTTGGTATTGCACCATTGATGTCTCCTTTGGCTTCTAAATGTTTTGCATAATTATAGTAAGTAGTTCTCAAATGTATTCTATCATGAAGCTCAGCTGTCTCCATAGCCTAGAATCAACACAGTTTATTATGTTCAAAGATATGAAATTGAACTACCCTACTCGTGTTGTCCATGGAATATGAAATGGCATTTTAATGTAATAATATAGGATTTATTTGCACTCACCTTACTCCACTGACCACTTGCTTGATAGAAATCATTTAAAAGATCATAACGTTTACATGTCTTAAATAGTCTTTCAGCATCTTCCTACAATACAACAAAACAGAAAAAAACAAGCCATGCATGGCACAGTCCCCGTTAGTTATTAAATTTAAGAAATATAGTTTTGTTTATAGTAATATAGCTGGAATATAACCATGTCAGGAATATATTTTTTTTAACATTAAAATGATTAA